CACAGGTTTGTGAAGTATCAACATGTATGACTGAGAAAAGAATACACGTAGAAAAGGAAAAAAGAGTCATACCTTGAAGTTAGCAAAGCCATCTTCTCCAGATTAGGGTCCTCTGGCAATGCATTATCTTCTGAGCTTGGTCTTGGTCATAGTATGTCTGAAAGTTAGCTGGCTCCCACTGCAAGGTTGGTGTGCAAGTTGTAATGATTGAGTATGAGAGCTGTCAATCAAAACATTGTAATTCAGGACATTTTCCCCCAGATTATAATCTGGGGAGGGGGGGATGAGAAGAGAGGGATTTAGAAGGAGTGGGTAGAAGAATGGGTCTGAAGGAAGCTCAAAGCCCTAGACCTAGCAAAAAGCTCCATTTATCGGTGACTGTGGTTGTATGTTTACTGCTGGGGAAGGCAAGGACTGACAATTATAGATACACCGTTAACATTAAGGGAACCTTTTTACAACCCATTTAAGTTATTTAATAAAATTTAATTTGATTTCTTGTTCAAATGTCAACTAAGTGATTGTGCTGTTCTAGTTTCCCCAAATTCCACTTGTCATGATACATCAGATATATATAAAGAATTTCCAAATCAAGAAAGGCAGCAAAATTCTTTAGACATGTTCCTGGAATAATAGGATTGTGCTTTAATTTTGAAGAAAGAAAAAGAAAAAAAGAAAAACTCCAAACCCCAAAACAGGGAGACAATGTGGAAGAAGTACATCTGTTGATTTTTCCCTGGGGGAGGACTGCAGATTTTATTTTTCACATGTCAGGTTAGCTTGAACACTTTTCCACCTTGAAAACTCTTCTCAAGAGAAGCATAGGGTGGCCCAACAGAATGATAAAATTGGGAGAGGAGTTCTACATACCTGCATCAGAAGCCTTGGGTGTTAAAACAGCCTTGATAAGGCTATAGTTTGGCTGTTATAATCACCTGTGGATGATTGTGTTGTATTTCTTTCTTTTTTTTCTTTTACACTGGTCAGTTTTACAGTTTTAGAAGACCTCTTCTTGATCACATTTATATCCTGCCCTCTGTGGTCTCCATGTTAGGGGAAGGGTCAAAAACAGCAAGAAGCTGAAAGCGGTGTTGCAATGCAGGCCCTGCCCCTTTTGTGTGCGTGTGTTGATGTCACACACAAATACAAAAGGAACAGGGCTTGGATCCCAATGTGAAATCCACCATCTTGCCTATTTTGGCACTCCATGATGGATGTTGCTGCCTGCCTTATCTCTAAGAGCTCCAGGTGGTATTCATGATTTTCTCTTCTCTTCCCCACTCCATTAAAACCCTATCAGGTAAGTTAGACTGAAGGTCATGTCCAGGTCCTTAATCAGCTTCATGGCTGAGTGGGGATTGGAACCTTGGCTACTCCAGCCCAAGTCTGACTCTCTAATCCAGTGTTTCTCAGCCTTGGCA